AGTTTTCGGAAATTATCGACCGTGTAATTTCCCTTGATGATTTTCACTGATTTTTCACAATTTTTGTTAATTTACGAAAACGCCACATTTTGTATTAGTATAGTTTGTATTAGTTTTGTATTAGTAATGAATGTTGTAACTCGTGTCTACACCACATAATAAAGTACCATCTACGAAAAGAAAACCAAAGAAGAAATAAGTCAGTGGTCTAAGGCTACTAAAAAACTCATATCACTTCTAGTTGTACCTCAGTTTCCAACATTTTTATTTTTTCTTGCAGTTCTGGTACCAACGAGCCGCTGTTGGTCGCTCGACTACTGTAAAACCCAGTCGTATCAGACTTGAGAGACAATCCATCTGAATCGAATTTTGTATCCTTGAAAATATTTGAAGATTTGAATAAATCGAATGTAATGAAACTGTGGTTAGAACACGTTATGAATATTTTGGAGAAATTCAAGTGAAATACCTGCAGCTGCATCCTGAGATCTTCCAGTTCCTGCTGACACATGTTCAGCTGTTCTTCCTTGCTGGCCACATATTTCTTGTGTTCCTCGTCTTCCAGTTCCATCGCCTTAACTGCCTGGCATAGCAACTCGTGTTTCTCTTGTACTTCTTTTTGGAGATTCGAATATTCTACCTGAAAATACAAACATCTTGTGGTTCTAAATAATACTTCTTTGGGTTTCTGATTGAGAAGCAAGCACAAACTATCAAGAAATGGTCAAATTAAACCACTAAAGTCCACATTATATACAGTGCATTTCTTCCATGTCCCCAACCCTTTTATTTTACGGGTCAACTCAAAAAATTTAAATTTGGGATAATGAAATTAATGCATGAATACTTTATTTTGAAGTGAAATTGACAGATGAAACTTTCAAAATGGCGACTGGGCGCCATCTTGAGAGTTTCATTTGGCATTTAACTACACAATATGAGATAATAAGCTTGAGGTCAGTTCAGAAGATGCTCGAAATGGTTGCCTTGAACTTCTTGACATATGAACGATATTTCACGCCGAACATTTTCGAACACAGTAACGTCAATATCTCTACAAATATTTATTATTCTCTGCCGTATATCCAATATTGAAGCAGGTTCAGTTTCGTACACCTTTTNTCGATGGATATAGGCCGAGACCGCATATGCTGGACATGCTGATAGCAAGTGCATTAGGGTCTCGGGCGCCTCCCGGCAGGCCCTGCACCTTATGTCTTCGCGCGACTGCGGTAAACTAAGATGTTGAAGACATTATTATTATTATTTTTTCACCGTAGTGTGCGCTGGTCAGGCCCTATCCCCCGAAGCCCCGTTACATTCGGGGGGGCGCGCCAGCATTATCTACCAATGACCACTCCCCACACCGTGGGTTAAGTGATCATTGGGTCCTAGAATCATGTGCCCTGAGCAAGCGCAGTTATTATTATTATTATAAACTCACCTGCAATTCAATATACTTCTTAACGACATTATCATTATCCAGAGTAAAATGACTGCCCATCTTTTCTTCTAAAAAATAAATCCTAAGTTTCAAATTAAAATTTTCCTTCTTCAAGTTGCTCAACTGCTCCTCGAATTCCTTGACGGATCGGCCCCGCATGGGACCGCCCGGCGAACGAAGGCCCATCGTATCTGAAACAAAGAGGAGCTTTTGAAAAAACGCCATGAGATCATGAGAATGAAATGAGGTCGACAAAAGAGGATCTTTTTGCAGAAAATGTAATGTTTGTTTGAAACGATTGAATTCTAATCGAACCAGCTGACCGGGCGAATTTGGTACCACCTTAGATTTATTTAATGAATATGTTGTTGTAAGTTATTAGCCGAGTTATATCTACTTTTTTACATAGTGTGATCAAACTCATGTAGTATAGTCGAAGTAAACGATATTGTGAACATTTAAAGTTGGCGGCACTCTCAAAGGCCAAAAAACCAATACATACAAATGAACCGGCTGCAAAATACTCGACGTTGACTGCAGAATTGGCGGTTCGTATCGGATAATTTTTACTAGCCGAGATTTATGATTGGCTGAAGGGTCATAAAATCAAATTTGAAGTCATGTTACGGTGACGAATAGAACTCGGGGAATGCGAATAGAAATCGGGGATCTCTTCAGGAACTGATCGCGATTTTAGTGTTGAAATTCGATACTGGTACAGTTATCTGTTTAAAATGTGGCGTCCTTGGACACGTTCTAATGGTAATAACGAGTGTGACAAGGGGCCGTTCAAGTATTACTTGAGCACTATGGGGGGCGGGGGGTCTTTTTTTTGGCTTATTTTGGATGACATGGGGGTAGGGGAGTCTAGATCATGATTACGTCATCGGTAGTTATTTACTTTTTTACACGAATGGCAACCGTCACATTGTCTTTGCTTGAAAACGAAACGCATTTTCGGGGATTCCCGCAAATAATGCATACGTTTAGGCACTCGCTT